GATTTGGTCCAAGTACTACGAGTTTAGTCCCCTGCGCGAGCTCAATTACAAGTGTTTGAGAGTTGGCATCCCGACGTGCTGGTTCAAGATTGTGATGCACACATGGTGCGGACCACGCATCATCAGGAGTGGACGACACCACGCAGTGGAAGCGCTGTATGCGACGCGCGGCCTCCCAGCTGGAGATGGCAATGTGGATATTGTTATCAATATACACGCTGCCTTTGAACTGGACTCATTCGTGGCACGGTGTCCGACAGTTGATTTCCTGAACTGCATAGATAGCAGCGCGATTGGGAACAGTTCGAGGGGTATCACCATCGCGAAGGGCACGGCTGTAGAGTCCATGCGGGAGTTCAGGCAGGCGTCGGATGAGTTGAATGCGTTGCTCAACTTCGACAAGGTGTCGCTGATTGCTTCGTCTGTGGAGTTGGGCCATTCAATATGTGATGAACTCGGAGTTCATCGCAGCACCTACAAGACTAGCGTCACATATCTTGGAGTTGGTGAGAGTTCGGGAGCCCAGAGATCTGCTAAAGGAGCCCGCCCTAAGCAGAAGCGTAGGTTTGTAGGTGCTAAGCGTAGAGTCCGTAAAGTTCGAGGTTTCAAGAAGGGCTTTAGAGGCTGTAGCAAAGAGGCCCCCTTCGTCAAGATATGTCGTTCGGGAATCTCACCTGCTAGCAGTTTCGGAGCTGAGATAAATGGCTTAAGCCTGACCCACCAACGGCTCCACAGCAGAGCGATGTCCCCATCTCATGGGGGCGTCTCGTTGTCTGCGAAAATAGTTTTAGTAGGAGGTTCAAGTTTTCGTTTAGCAGTGGCGCCGGCCCTGCAGTGGTGCCGAATGATTTGGTTTGCCACAACCCAACCCGATAGAGCGCTAGTTAGCCGTGCTGAGCTCCTCAGGCTTTGGAAGTCGGCCAGACCTCTCGAGCAAGGGCCCTGGACCTCCTCCCGAGGCCCGTGGAGCCGCGCGGTGTCGGTGCTCTCGAGGGCGGGTTGGGAGGCTGCAGGCCCTCTGGAGTGGAAAGATCACAGCGGGATTCCCATCCAGATTGATGAAACACCGCCAGCGTTGCTGGCTGACCAGTTAGAGATTGGAATTCAGAGAGTCCACGAGCTAGCACTAGCAGCAAAATTAGGTCACCCTCCTGGGCACAGGGCAACTCTGGACCTTATACGGTCTAGATTGGGGCCCAAGGCTCGAGGGCTGAGCACGCAGGCCAAGTTTTTGATCAGGAGCTGTGGGTGCAATGGAGTGTGGACTGCTGAGAGGGGGGTCGTCTGGCGGGGTACGGGACGGACGGGCGGTGTGAGTGCGGACAGGTAGACGCACTCCACCACAGGCCCTACTCTTGTTCCAGGCCTGATGTCGAACAGGCACGATCAGAGTCTGAAGTTCCGAGTCAGTTTTTAGAAGCGGCTCGTGCTGAGCCAGACTTAATTTTTACCCGTGGGATCCATGTTTACCCAGAAAGCGAGCTGCCGAAACCATCCACTTCAGCTGAGGTGGACATGTTCGATGTTTCGGGCGAACCTCTGGACAGGAACCCAGAGCAGCTAGCTGAATTGTCGGACGAGCCTGTTTTAACAATGGTTTCGGACGGGTCCTGCTCGAAGCCCCCCCTCCGTGCGCTCCAGCGAGCAGCGTGGGCGATGGCGGTGCTCCCACCGAGCGGATCCGATCCTGCTCCAGTCTGTGCGATGCGTGGAGTTGTCCACGGCAGTTCTCCTCAGACGCCTGCGATGTCTGAGCACGCGGGTGTGGCGCTGCGCGGCCAGGTGGCAAATGGGCCAGCTCAGCTCGGCGTTGATTGCATGTCTGCGATAAAGCTCGCGCAAAAGGCACTGCCTCAGCAGCAATCGGCGCGCGGCAAGTTTGCAGGGATCAGGAAAGTTGCCCACGCGCTTGAGGGCGCAGCCATCATACAGGAGGCGCGTCATGTAAAGGCGCATCGGACTCAGGCTGTGATTGACTCGTTGGAGCAGCATGAGAGAGAATATGCCGAGTCAAACCGCATTGCTGATCACCATGCGAAAGTGGCTGTTCGATCCCACCTTTCTGCAGACCCATCATTCTTGCACGAGTTAGAGGTAGCAGAGGAACGAGCTGCCAACGCCTGTGAGCTGGCTGCCGCCGCCCTGCCGCTGTTTGAGGTCACGCCTCGATGGCAAAGGAGCACCGGCGTCAACCGCCGTAGGCGACGGACACATTGAATGCAACAGGACTGGCATGAATGGGTTGATAGACCTGCAGGCCTCCGCTGTGCGAAGTGTTTCAGTCTCGGGGGTGAGGACAAAGCTGAGCTTCCCCTTAATGGTTGCATGGGGCCCCCCCCCAACATCCGACCGCTCCTCAAGGGCCCCATGGGGCACCTCGTCGTCGCGGCTGGATTGACGGCTCGAGCTTCGGGCAGTGCTGGTAGTAAGGTCCTTGAGAAGCAGTTCTGGATTTGTTTAAGATGTGGGGGGTGGTCCCAGGGTAGAGCCCTAAAGCTTGCTAAGCCGTGTGTCAATCCTGGTCAACACCCCGCACAGAAAAGGTCCGGAGGTTATATGCCGCTATGCCCAGGG